TGTACTTGTATAGTTTTCTTCCCGTTTATAAGCAAGTGATACTTGATTATATGAATGGGTGTACTTGTATAGTTTTCTTCCCGTTTATAAGCAAGTGATACTTGATTATATGAATGGGTGTACTTGTATAGTTTTCTTCCCGTTTGCACTCATATATATATATCATATACTAAACTTTCTACTTGAAAAAACTACGCTGTATTAAAGTTAGCTATAGGAAGACTTCTGACGTTTTTTCTTCCTGAGAATTTACAATCAAATAATGCATTTAATGGAGATGTTAGTGAAAGTAGTTTACATCAATGTTACACATTAGCATCGATGACAAGTTAATACTGTGTAATCAAAAGCAGACACAACAAGATTATACACTGGATACTGACCACTTGATATTACTAGCATATAAATACAACATGAATATAGTCTGGATACTGACCACTTGTTATTAGTAAGAGATAAACACAACAATATTATACACTGGATATTGACCACTTGTTATTACTAGCATATAAATACAACATGAATATAGTCTGGATACTGACCACTTGTCATTAGTAGGAGATAAACACAACAAGATTATACACTGCATACTGACCACTTGTTATTACTAGCATATAAATACAACATGAATATAGTCTGGATACTGACCACTTGTCATTAGTAGGAGATAAACACAACAAGATTATACACTGGATACTGACCACTTGTTATTACTAACATATAAATACAACATGAATATAGTCTGGATACTGACCACTTGTCATTAGTAGGAGATAAACACAACAAGATTATATTATAAATACTGACCACTTGTTAGTAGTATAAGATAATAATAACAAGATTATATTATAAATTCTGACCACAGTGAGATAAACACAACAAGATTATACTCTGGATACTGACCACTTGTCATTACCAAGAAGTAAACAGAACAAAATAAGCTAATTTCAACCTGAACTACACCTTATTCGACGCGTGGATTAAACTTCTGGGTCAGTGACCCAAAAGTTCAGGTATAACCTTCACTAATTTAGAAATGATTATCAGAGGACAGCTATTCAGTAGCACCTAACATATAGATGGATACTCTTAGCCAAAGAGGGAGGTTGACTGTCACTTTTATAAAGTTTCTATAGATGAAAGTACTGACTCGAATCTTAGAACTTTCGATCCGCAGCCCAATACGCTAACCACAAGACCACTCCTGGTCATAACGACATTATACACTGCGTATAGTCATGATGTGTTATTGAAAGCAGACACACGGAGGTTATGTATTAAGCACCGATGAACGCCATTACTAATGTGTATAAATAAGTTTATATAACATATACTGACGACATGTCACGAGAAATAAACATAATGAAGTTACACACTAGATAATGATGACGAGTTATCAATAGAAATTATGTTGACGTTATAAGTTGGATATTGGTAACGTACGATAAAAATGAGCAGAACGAATGTTTGCATATACATATTATGTATCGATGAGTGTCATTAAAAATTAGCTCTAGAATTGTAGTTGTAGTGTTTACTTACGGCATGCCATCAAATACAGAAAGTAAATACTTGTCATTAGAATTAAGTATAACAAGGTTTTACAGTAATTGCAGTCAACACTCCATTAAAAGTAGACCCCCAAAAGGTTATATATTGCGTACCAATGAGCGCAATTAAAAAGAAATACAAGTTATTTCACTGAGTAATGACGGCAGGCCATTAAACGTTGACTCTACAGGACGGTGTACTGAGTATAAATGGGAGAGTTAAAAGTAAATAATTGATGTACTTCCCCAGGATCCCCGAAAGTGTTTTTACACTATTATAATTCATATAATGTAATAGATAAATAAAACCAAACTATGCTACTGTACTTTTTACACTATTATAATTCATATAATGTGATAGATAAATAAAATCAAACTATGCTACTGTATTTCTTTACACCATTATAATTCATATAATGTAATATATAAATAAAATCAAACTATGCTACTGTACTTTTTTACACCATTATACTTCATATAATGTAATAGATAAATAAAATCAAACTATGCTACTGTACTTTTTACACCATTATACTTCATATAATGTAATAGATACATAAAATCAAACTATGCTACTGTACTTTTTTACACCATTATACTTCATATAATGTAATAGATAAATAAAATAAACGACTAGTATCCCGTTGAGTCAACGGTAATTTTACGGACTTAAACGCTAAAATCCGGGGTTCGTTGCACTGCAATGGAGCGAATGCTAATAGCCCCTTGTGTAAATTTGCACCAGAAATATACGAAAATATACGACTAAATAAACAAAAAGGACAAAATCTGACGTTAAAGTTCCTATAATTATTTATAAATAAATAAATAAAACAAAAGTCACATAAGGAACAATGTTTATACCAGGTTATAACAAGGCAATACAAAAAAAAAATCGTCGTGATAAAATTGGAACACAAAATAACAAGAGTAATGATAGAATTTGCATACTCCCGCCCCGCCGCTCTTTTTCGAGATTGTACGCATTTATATTGGATAACGTCAAATTTTACAATCGAAAACTCAGAAAATCTTGCTCATATTCAGAATGATAAACGATCCGAATCTTTTTTGTAATGTGATGAGGAGTCTCAACCTGAATGTGCCCATAAAATGTCGAACAAATCCGATCACGCTTTACAAAGCTACTAACTCAAAACCGCGAAAATACCCTAATTTCCCATCATAAAAAATGCTTCGAAGTGATCCAATTTTAGATACGTACCAAATTTGGAGAAAACGATCCCATACTGACTTCCCATCTTGTGTAAAATTTTAGTGTAAGCCTACGTCAGTTTATTAGTTTTCGAGATACGCGCGCGGAAACAGAGAAAAACACACAAGGCCCGGGTTGCAAGGGTTAAAAAAGCGAGGGTTAAAATCTATTCATTGATAAATGTCTTAATCAGTTCAGGATGAGCATACATTTTAAATAACTGGTAAGATGTCTGATATGAGGCCAAATAGTATAAGCAGCCTATTTATCAGTTTCAATCTTCCATAATCTACATTAATTCTTCCCTACTACAAATCCAATGTGTACTTATGTTTTGACGTAATATAAATCATATTCCTAAATGCATTAGTTGATAACTCAAATATTGACTCATACATAAGTATAAATATCTTAAATTCAAATTAGTAAGTAATTAAGTCTTTTATAAATAACAGTAAGGGGTGATGTTTTTAAATTATTCTAATGTAATGACTATTTTATGGGTGAACTATAACTGATTTACAATACTTTGTCAACCAGCACACCAGTTAAATAAATTATAAGTGGTTCTTGGGTAAACTTTCTTTGAGCAGATTAATTACTTCTATTAATAAAGATATCTTACTTATCATCCCACTTACGTTACCGTTCTGGTTTAAACTGCGCTATATTACTGTAACATAGTATAATATGATCTAATGATATCATTAATTCCTGTTTTAATAACTACATAGAATAATATTATCTAATGATATCATTAATTGCTGTTTTAATGACTAGATAGTATAATATGATCTAATGATATCATTAATTCCTGTTTTAATAACTACATAGAATAATATTATCTAATGATATCATTAATTCCTGTTTTAATAACTAAATAGTATAATATTATCTAATGATATCATTAATTCCTGTTTTAATAACTACATAGTATAATATGAGCTAATGATATCATTAATTCCTGTTTTAATAACTACATAGTATAATATGATCTAATGATATCATTAATTCCTGTTTTAATAACTACATAGTATAGGTGAACTTTTGTGTTGGTTTGTATGTTGTTAAGCATAAAGTTATACAATGGGCTATCTGTGATGTGTCCACCTCAGGTATCTAAACAAGATTTTTAGCGTTATAGGCCCTCATACCTACCGCTGAGTCACCATGGAAGTTTTGATGTACTTTTAATATCATACATACATACATATACGTATTATTACGTATTAGAATTTCAAATCGTCTGAAACCGAGCTAAATGATAAATTTAAATTTAGTAGTTAAATTGTATTTCAGATTTAGTAGTAAAATTAAAGCCGATATATAGTCAGTTTATGCCAACAAGATTGATACAAACAGTTTTATTTTTTTAACACAAATACGTTTTAATATACGCACAACAATACAATTTACAATAACAGTTATTACAATAACAGTTATTACAAT